TGCCCCCAGCCATATTTGTCAGGGTGGGAGGAGCCCTCTGCCTAGGAGTCAGCAGCTTTGAGCAGATATGTCATAGCGTCAAGGATCAGAGCCTGTTCTTGGGCATGTGGTCACAACAGGATACCCAGCTTCTTATTTTTTTTTTTTAACTTTCAACCGTATTTACCCCTATTTCCTGAAATCAGACTCCGCCCTTGGGAGTTTTATCTCTGTTCATGGGCTTGGAGATCCCGAGAAGCACCACCAAGATGTCATTTATCTGTCAGTCAGTTCTTCATTCCCTCATTCCTTTCTTCCTTCCTCCTTCAACTTGTCCTTCGTCCCTTCCTTCCTCCTGTCCTGCTTGCCTCACATCCTGCCTCCCATTCTGATGTCATTAGCTGTTTCTCTCTGCTTCATCTTCTCCTTTTTGCTTCTTGTTTTCCATCTTTTCAGTATTTTGACTTTCTTTTTTCCTCCTTTGTACTTTTGCTGTCTTCAGAAGTTCTGTATGAAGAGTCCAGTGTCCTTTACCTATCAGCTAAGAGTTCACCAAGAAACCCAGGATCCTGGCACAATCCAAGAGAATGGGAATAACTGCAAGGGTAAGATGCAGGTGGAGCATTCTTGTGTGAGCCAACTGGGTGTGAAGAGAAAGAAGGCAGAGTCCTTCCTTAGGGTGGTTCTGAGTCAACAAGCAAAGTAGTTGTGAGATAGGAAGGGTGTCATGTGGACTGCTTTCAATGCCAGTGCCTCACTGGCCAAACCAGTAGGTATAAAATGGACTTAAAGCAGGTTATCCCCATTGGAGGCTTCTCTTTCCTAGGTCAGCTTGCTCAAGAGTACCAGAGAATATCCAGGATCAAGGTCAAGAAAGCTGCCCCCTACACATGTACCATGTGATGGCTGCCAAAAGCGGGAAAGTGACCTGTCATCCACTAGAGAAGTTATGAGTAGAGTGAGGCCCAACTTTAGCAAGTAGTGGAGGATGACTATTCTTTTCCTTAAATTGATGGTGAGCTGGTATGTGTGTTTGTATGTTAGGAAGTACATTCTGAGGGTATCTGCTGCAGAGAAGGAAGGCCATTGATGGTCCAGACACTGCGGTAAAGCATCCTACCTATAGTAGGTATGGAAGATAGACCTAAGTTAAAACACAGAAGGGCTGTTTCTCTGAGCTCAAAGCCCTTAGAGAGCCAGCCTCTCAGCTGAAGAACAGGTGTGTGCATCAGTGGAGTTGAGATCATGGAAGTGTGGCATCTGGTGTTGTGAGAGGGTGGATGCCTTTGCTTATGACATGATGCCAGGGACCTTTTCCTGGAAAGTATTTTCCAGAAGTAGGTTCTAGAACAAGTCTATAATTGTGGGTGGTCTAAGGTCAGTGAGAAGTCAGGCCAATCACAGTGATTTCAATCACCATGATCAGAAACAAGACAAGTGCCCCTTGAGCTGGATCTTGGTAAAGATGGAGAGTTTGAAAGCCCCGGCAGGGCTGTCTGGAGGAGAAAGGGGTAGAATCCTTTTCATCTGAGCATTACAGTCTCAACAATGAGGTGGCAGGCCACTGGATATTTGGTCCTGGTCACTCTATGGGTCAGACTTGATGCCTAGTGTCCAGGGTACTGTGATTTTGGTAGGATGAGTGGTGCTGTATTTAGCCAAGGACCACTTTATGCCTAAGATTTTGTTTCTGTGGCTTCTCCTGACTTTTGCAACTAGAGAAGGAGGTCCCTATTCAGTTTTTGGCCCTTATACCTTGAGGCTGGACCTTATCCTTGTGGAGGAGTGTCTCAATATATTGAGACCTAGATTCCTATAGGGTCTGAGACCCTCCAGACCAGATCCATAAAGTAAGATTCCAAGCTCTTCTCTGGCTATGTGGGGCCAACTTATAGCCAAGATATTTAGGAGTTTAGTGTCACGTTGACATTTTTCAGGTTTTTTTTTTTTCCTAAAAGGGCGGAGGGAGTGAACCTGGAAGAAGGGTGCCTGTGCATTCCTAGTACTCTACTGCCATCAAGTGGAATTGCTTTGCTGTTCTCATCAACACCTCAATGTGCCTTTTGTTTGTTGGTCTGGGAGCGAAGGGATAAGGAATGCTTGGGGCTTATAAGGAATGCTTGGGGCTTCTGGGACAAATACCGAGGTAAAGGAGGCTCTAGCCAGCTTTACAGTTCTGGGGTGCCCAGGGTAAGACTCAGCCAGTGCCAGCCCCCAAGGCAGCACGGACTTCAGAGTTATAAAGTCAGAAATACGGGCTTTGTTATCTTGCGGCAGCCATGTTTGACACAGTGCGGAGGATTCATCACCGGGGACTCAGATCCGTGAGTAACTTGCTTCTCAAGGTACAGAGCCTGTCCAATTGTCCCTGAACGTTTATCTTTTTAGACACCTACCAGCACATATACTTCACCTCCTAGGATCAGCTACTGCCCCGGGAATTCTGGTCTCTATGCTCATAAGCTTCCGGGTCCCCAGACATTCCACCTAGAGAACATAAATTTGTCAGTCAGTCCATCTTTCCTTCCTTTATCCTTCTGTCCATCCTACTCTCCCTTTCTCCCTTACTTATCTCCATCTTTTCATACTTCTTCCCTTCCTTTCAGACTTAGATCCTCCGTCTGTTGTCTGCTTCGCTTTCTCACCCTTGTTTTCTGTGTTTATGTCTTGTGGCTTTCTTTTTATTCCCTTTATTCCCTTTGTTGTCCTTCAGGAGTTCTGCAGAAACTGTCTTGAACCTGTAAACCAAAGATTCGGCAACAAAATCAGGTCCCCAGAGCAACGCGAGGGTACAGGAAAAACTACAAAGGTGAGATACAGGCAGGGCATTATGTAGCCTCTCAAAGTAGGCGGGAAGTTGGCCCAGGGGAGACATCCATCCCAATTTGTCTGAGGACTTGCAATCGAATCATACCTGGAAGTGGACTCCGTGGTACAGAGAGGACAAAGGGCACATTCGAGCTCCAGTTCCCTATGCCACAGCCAGGAATCAGCATGAAGAGGACAGTTGCCAGACAAGCATTTTGGTCTTCCTGCCCAGAGACCCCTGTTGTAGATTATTTTAAGGTATGTTACTTTTGTTTATGTTCTGGAACATTTGTTTAATTATGCAAAGATGTGTCTGATTAAATACAATTCACCTGAGGTCAGGAGGCTGCGCAAGAAACTACTTGACAGGAAGTTGTGAGGAGGAGCCAGGTGGAAGAGGGTTTGTAAGGAGGGGCGAGAAAAAGCAGGAGGACTTCTTGAGAGACCTGAGGAGGTGAGCTAGGTGAGCTACTTGCTATTCAGCCTCTCTGGGAAGCAGGATTCTACCTCAAAATGAAAGAAAGAAAGAAAGAAAGAAAGAAAGAAAGAAAGAAAGAAAGAAAGAAAGAAAGAAAGAAAGGAAGGAAGGAAGGAAGGAAGGAAGGAAGGAGGAAAGGAAGGAGAGGGGAGATATAGGAGTGATAAGATGAAAAGGTAATTGATGAATCTACTTTAAATAACAGGGTAGATCATTAAATCTATTATAAACTAAAGGACAACTGTTGATCTAAAATATTTTGTATTCTTAAGGATTGCTACAAATTTAAGGTCATACCAACTAAGAATCTAAGCAATAGTGGAGAGGCTACCTTAAATGCTCTTCCCCTATAATAAGATTGATGACTACCTTAAATGCCATCCTAGAGCCTTCAACCAGTAGCTGATGGAAGCTGAAGCAGAGACTCACAGCTAAGCACTAAGCCGAACCCCTGGAATCCAGTCGCAGAGAGGGAGAAGTGATGAGCAAAAGGGTCAATACCAGGCTGGAAAATGCAACGAAACAACTGAAACAGCTGACCTGAACAAGGGGGAGCTCATGGACCACAGACTGATAGCTGGGAAACTTGCATAGGACTTATCCAGACCCCATGAACGTGAGTGTCAGTGAGGAGGCCTCGGCAATCTATGGGGCCTCTGGTAGCAGATTAGTATTTATCCCTAGCATACAAATGGACTTTGGGAGCCCATTCCTCATAGAGGGATACTCTCTCAGCCTAGACACACAGGGGAGGGCGGAGGCCCTGCTCCAAATGATATGACAGACTTTGAAGATTCCCCTCCATGGAAGGCCTTACCCTCCCTGGGGAGCAGAAAGGGTATGGGATAGGTAGGGTTTTAGTGGGGGGGGCAGGGGAGAAAGGGAGGGAGAGGAAACTGGGATTGACATGTAAAAAATATTGTTTCTATTTTAAATGCAAAATACAAAAAATTGCAATTACTAAAAAATTAAGCTCATTTTTGTTACAATACACTGTATATATATTTCTACTTTTGTTTAGAGGATTTTGTATATTGTATATTGTTACACTGTATATATGTTTCTACTCTTGTCTAAAGGTCCTTTGTAGGTTGATACAAATTTAAAGTGGTCTTTGTTGCCTCAATTGTATATGTGTTTCTCCTTTTGTTTAAGGTATTGTACCTAAGCACTTCATTTAAAAATGTAAGATAAAAGTACTAGCTTTTGAATCTTTTTTTTTTCGAGACAGGGTTTCTCTGTGTAGCTTTGGAGCCTCTCCTGGCACTCACTCTGGAGACCAGCCTGGCCTCGAACTTACAGATATCTGCCTGCCTCTGCCTCCCGAGTGCTGGGATTAAAGGCGTGTGCCACCAACGCCTGGCAATCTTTTTTTTTTTTTTTTTTTTTCATAGTAGTTACCGTGCTTTATCAGAGCTGTTTTTAATGATGTTGCTCAGAATGGTTTCCTTCCAGATGATGATTAAGAAGCTAATTTAAAAAAAAAATGGTGCCAGGTACCAGAAGAGTAACAGAACTGTGCTGTTTTTTCTGGGATTTTGTTTTTTACTTTTTTTTAAATGGAGAGTGCTGGATGTCTCTACAATTTTCTTCAAATGACTTGTGTGTGTGTGTGTGTGTGTGTGTGTGTGTGTGTGTGTGTGTTCTAGTTTTTGAAAGCTATTGTTATAAACTATTTAGGGCAATCAAGAAGCATAGTTTAGTAACTAGTCATTTATAACTATTTTTGTAGATATGTTAGGTATGTTTTCTAGGTTAAATTGATGTATTTTAGATAGATGGTCTTCAAACCTTTCAAAGACCTACAGAATATGGCATTTAAAATGTTTTGTTAATTTAGGGCTTTTCATGACAATGAGACACATTTGTTCCTGGCAATAGCAATTTACTTCATAAAGGATGATGGGCATCAAAGAAACTCCATAGAAGTTTGTTTTCATTGTGGCAAGCTGCTCTTGCCTGGACTGCTTGACAGTATGTTGTATAAACTGGACATGCAGGACCCACAGGAAATTGACTGTTGAACTTTGTCACAACAAGGCAAGATGGTTCTTCAGAGTTCCTGCTTCACAAAACAAACTGTCAGACATTCTGCAGGACACAGAGAAAAGTGACTGACAAACTGCCAATATAGGTGGGACAGTCTTTCAAATTTCCTGCTTCACTGAAAAGTCTGCCAGCTACTATGAGCCTGTAGGCTAAAGATAGATGCCCTTAACATTACCAAAAACTTTGGGTGACTGTACAGACACTCAGATGTCTCTGTCATTTCTAGAGTTTTTAGAAGTTGTTTGCAATGCACTTAAATGATACTATAACCTTCTGCTGCCTTTGATGGAGTTGAAGGCTGGATAGTAATAGTTGCAGTTTTCCTTACATATGATAGAAAGTAAGTTATGTATAAAACTTTGCATTCGCTAAGGTAGGTAATGTATTTTCTTTGAATTTACTAAATGCAAATGGACCGAATATTGTAATTTAATTCTTGAAAACTGTTTTTGATGTATATAGTTTTACTATGTTGAAGTTAAAACCTTTCTTTTTATTTAGACAAAATGGGAAATTTGGGGGAATATTATTGTAAAGTGTGTGACTTTTGTTTATGCTGCATTTGTTTAACTCTGTGAAGCTGTGCTACTGTGCCTGTTTAAAACACCTGGTGGAAAATGGTTGAAAGACACTTGAGAAAGTGCTCAACATCCTTAGCCATCAGGGAAATGCAACTCAAAACCACTCTGAGATACCATCTTACTCCTATCAGAATGGCTAAAATTAATAACACCAATGACAATCTATGCTGGAAGGGATGTGGAGAAAGAGGAACTCTCCTCTATTGCTGGTGGGAATGCAAACTTGCACATCCACTTTTAAATCAGTATGGCAATTTCTCAGGAAAATGGGAATCAGTCTACCTCAAGATCCAGCAATT